CTGTGTGCAAATTGAAATATAATTTTTTCTGTTTTCCTTCTTTTTTTTTTGCTATATGGCTAATATGGAAATATGTTTTGCATGATTTCATTGATATCATTTTGTTTACCTTCTGAATGGGTGGGAGAGAGGTGGGATGAGGGAAAACGATTCAGAACTTGAAATTTCAGAAGAAAAGAATGTTAAAAATCAATAAATAATAACATTTTAAAAGAAAGAAATTGAGTTGAGTAGTAGAATTTTTTTTAAAAGAAAATAGTTGTACTTGTATTCTTTTTTTGTTTGTTTTGTTTTTTTGTGAGGCAATTGGGGTTAAGTGACTTGCCCACATAGCTAGTAATGTCAAGTGTCTGAGGTCAGATTTGAACTCAGGTCCTCCTGACTCCAAAGTTGGAGCTCTATCCACTTTGCCACCTAGCTTCCTCAACTGTATTCATTTTTAAAATGGGAAAGTAAAACTCAGAGATGTTAAGTGACTTGCTACGGACACACAGCCAGTAAGTAGCAGAGACAGAATTAGAACCCAGGGCTTCTAGTTCTAAAGCTTTGATACAATACTGCAAAAACTAAAGACAGAAGGCGTGTTCATTGAGTGAAATCCAAATAAAAATATGACCCACCATTATGGGCTTTGTACCACAGGCATAGTAGAAAGTCCCCCTCTATAAACCTAAAGAGAAGTCCTCACTCAGGACGACTTGTTGGCAAATGAGTTGCTGATGTAAGCCTTTCCTAAGTGCAACTATATCTTGCTTTATGTAAAAGGTTTTTCCCCAAAAGTGTGGTGAATTTTTTTGTTGTTGCAAAGTAAATTGTATTTTAAATTCATTAGGGGAGCTTTCTATTTAAGGAGTCATGGCAGCTTGAATAAAAAAAAATTGTGGTATAAATAAGTACCTCTAAATTTATCTGCTTCACAAATTTCTATGGGTGGTGGTATTTTGAGATTTCTTAAGGAAGGCTATGCCTCAGCGTTAAACTGCTCCACCCCAAACTCAAACTCGAAGCAGTCAAGGGTCATTGAGATGGATTCACCTGGCAAATGACACATTTGTCCATTGGACAAATCAATACATGTGCACACACTCTGCACACGCTCTGTGCTCTCTATTGTAAAGACTCATCCGTGTGGGTTCATATATGGGCTCACAAGCTAAAGGGCAGGCTGGTTCCTGCCCTGGTCTCACATCCAGCTGAACTCAAAGAAAAACCTAGAAGCTCTTTTCCAGGACCTTCATAAGGCTCAGCTTACATTTTATATAACCTTTTCACACATACTGTCCAACCATCACCATATGAGGCAGGAAATACCATTATCATCATTTTACAGCTGAGGAAACTGAGGCTTAGAGAGAGGTGAGGTGATGTACTTGCCAACAGTCACAGAGCTAGTGAGTATAAGGAATTGGATTTGAACTGATGTCTCCTGGGTCCAAGCCCAGAGCTCTACTACCACACCACATTACCTCTCACCAATAAAATTAAGGAGGTAGATTAGCTGATTTCCAAAATCAGCTCTTCCTTCCAGCTCTAATTTCACCTCCAGCTCTAACATTCTATGATTTATGAAGCACTTGATAGTCAAGGTCTCTTTGGAACTTCAATAACTATGCCACTTTGAATGGACTGCAAGAAAGATCTGCTTTATGCTAAATTGTGCTCTACAGTAAACAGTGTTAAGACATAAAGGTTATTGATAACACCAGGTTATTCATAACTCTATTTTGTAGATTTGAGAGACTGAGGCACTGAAGTAGTGATTCCTCCAAACTGCTGTGGCAAGGGTGAGAACCTAGGAGGCTGGCTACCAGCCATCTATTTGATAGCCCCATTCAACATGCTGGGTCCTGCAGAATGCAAAGCATTGCATCATAGGGAGAGAAAGATCAAAGGAGAGCTGATCTCATTGTGAGAGAGGGTAATATGGAAACTAAAGTATAGGACTCCTAGGTAAGAGGAGAAGTAAGTTTATCTATGTGAATAGGTGGCCCACACCCACAGGAAGTACTTTTCCCAACTATCATCTGATGGACATCTTATCCTGATGGTGGTAGACTTGGCCTTCATTCTTAAACTACGTGGTCTTTCCCTTTCCACAGAAGTGAGATCTGGACTTGTCTTAGTTATAGAGGTAGCATGGTTTAGTAGAAAGAATATTGAAAAGTCAATCAGGAGATCCGGGAACCAGTCTTCCAAGTATTTATTCAAGGATATTCCTGGGATCTTTCCTAGAATGAAATTTTGCTCGTTTCATAGTTTCCTTCTTTTATTGCCCTTCAAAAGCCACTTCCTTTCCTTCTTCCAGGGCTTTCCCCTGGGCCAGGTAGCAGCTGAGTAAGGACATGGCAGTCAGGCATTTTATTAGGAGGAAATGGAAAATCAGTGACAAGAGCTATTGGCACCAGTTTCTGAACTGCAGTGTGACTGGGAAAAGGGAGGCGGTCCCAAGAAAGGAACGGTGCAGGTCACATCCCAGGACTCTCACGTCCTGCAAAGGAAGACTGGTGCCCAGAGAGTGGGGGTGGGAACAAGAACCATTGAGTATCCAAAAGGCTCAGCCTGCCCCAAGGACAGGAACAATTAACTTAAGCCAGATCCCTCAGCTGTATTAAGGAATTGACCAGTTGAATAGAATTTTTATATAAACAGAGGTATCCTAAATATTGAGTAGATGATTTCCCAGATGCTCCCTGGGGTTGAATGTGGGGTAGAATGTGGAGTGGAAACAAGGAGCATGAATGTTTCTTAAAGTAGACAAGACCCACCTCCAAGGACCCTCACCTCCCAGAACTTCAATTCTGAGAAACTAAAATGGGGAAATGAGTTCAAAACACAGTAGGACTAGATGACCTTAGTTCTTACAGTTGTGAATCTTTTCTACTGGGAGAAATCAAAGTAGAAAGAAGTTAAAGTCTCACAAGTTGTAAGGAGGTGTGAGGACTTGCTATTAAACTCTATGTGGTGCCAATAGTTAAACATTGTCCCTCCTGGTAACATTGGTTTTAGCCTGGGCTTCCAGGAGATGAATCAATCAATCAACAAGCACCTACTAAGTGCCAGGCCTCAGGGATACAAATACAAAGAATGAAACAATCCCTGCTCTCAATGAGTTGACATTCTAATAGAGGAGATGAGGGTTTAAGAGGAATAAATAACCAATGTCGTATGCTTCCCTCTCTCATAGAAAGTAAGCTTCTTGAGGGCAGAAATTTTCTTTTTGCTTTTGTATAGTGTTCCCACTTAGTAAGAACTCAATAAACACTTGCTGAATTGAAATGGAAATTTCCACCTTTCAAGGTAAAATGGAGAAGACAGCTTGAGATAGGTAGATGGGTCTTTGGTCAGCCTAGTGTTAAGACCACAACTGGCAGTCACCTGCTCTAATTCCTCACTCATCAGAAGTTACCCCTTCCTTCTAAACCTCAGGGTCTTTCTAGCCCCTGAGCTATTTTCTCTTTGGGCTTCCTCTTTGGCTCTATGTCAGTAGAGTTTGCCACTAGAACAAGAAAACCAAGCTCTCCTATTCAAGCACTACTCTCTGGTACTGAGGATCCCCCTAGAAAAAGCACCTAATGGTTCTGTCTCAGATAGACTGAACTCTTTGCCCTGGCTGGCCCTTTGCCTTTGCAAGCAGCTAAGAGCTTCCAAACCCCTGAACCTTGTTCTGCAGCGATGACTACAGAGGAATAATAATAACAGTAATACTCAGTGCTGTCATCAGAGATGCATAGCAGCATTTCATACTGATTAATTCAAAAGCTTCTCCCTTCTGGAAGGGCAAACTGAAGTGAGGAGGGAAAGAAAGCCTGGAATCTATCACAAAGTCAAGAAGGAAGCCCAGGAGTCCTGGTTCTCAGAGAGTGACTTTTGGCAATGCAACTGACCTGCTGTGTGACCACCTGTACAAGATATTTTCTTTCTTTAGACGTAGTATTCCCATATGTAAGGGGGAGTGACTCAGAGATGTTCCCTCTCTCACAGAAGGGTGAGTATTGGCTGACACCTATGAAGCCAGAAGTGTTCATTGAAAACACTAAAACTAAGCACTCATGGGTTGCACCAAGACTGTCCTCAGTGAGAGGCTATTTTGACACAAGCTTCAAATACTTGTTGGGTGATATTTTCCTAACCCACTCTACTTCAAAGGTCTTCCCTGTGGGACCACAGTAGTGCCTACAGAAGACAAGGGGAGAAAGAGCATCACTGAGGAGAAGTAGGTTCCAGAGACTACAATCATATGTAAGGGCAAAAAGGGAGGATAAGTGTATAGAAGGATAGCTGAGACCAAAAGCTTTCTTAATTGGAAGAAATGAAGTAATTTGGTTCTCCACCTGGGGATGTCCTCTCACACTTCCCTCCTCAGAAAGAAATAGAAGCATCACGGGGCAAAGATTGGAGTTTCTCAGTGTTGCATGCTTTGGGTTTAGTGTTGTAAGCTTTAGGCTTGGGGCCCTGGCCAAATGCACTGCAGACCAGCACCAAGGAACCAGTGCCTCCACCTCACCCCCACAACATTTACATCCCATCCCTTTCCATCCCATCGGAATCTCTGTATGTACACACACACACACACACACACACACACACACACACACACACACACACACACATACCTCTTCTAGGGATTCATCCTGACTAGGAGGGCAGTTCAGAGCCTGTCCCTTTGCTGGGAAAGAAAGCTGAGCCAGAGCTGCTAGAGAAGAAAAACAGCTGCCCCTTTGCCAACAAGTGGCAGCGGCGTCTTCAGGGCTCTCTGAGGGTTTGGGGACCGGTGTTGGGAAGGAAGGCTGAGCCAGGGAGTGAGGGGCTTCTTACCTCAAGGCGGAGCAACTCACTCCCACCCCTTCCTGCTCCCCTACCTCCCTTCAGTCCAAGACTTCCCCTCTTTCCTCCTCCCATCAAGGCTGCTCCAAGTACGGTTTAGGTCCCCGCGTGCCGCTTGCTTCCTGTTCCTAGCCTCAAGGAGTAGCGGCGGGGCCCGCAGGGCGCTTCTCACTTACCTCGGTGGCCATGTTCAGCGCGGGCGGGCTGCTCGGAGGCGGCGGTGGGAGCAACGGGGTTGGGTGGGAGGCGCTGTCCTCGGTGCTGAACGAGGAGCTGCGGGGCCAGAGCCCTAAACGGGCAGGGGGTGCCGTGTGCTGCGACGTGGTTTATAAAGCTCTGGGCCGAGGAGGAGCAGCGCTGTCCTCGGTGCTGGGACAATGAGCTACAAGAGGCCGGGCCCGGCTGCAGGCTCAGCTCTCTGCACTGGGAGCTCCGTGCTCCCGCTGCCTCTGCAGTCAAGAGGCTCGGTTTAGCGTTGGCGGTGGCAGCCGAGGCAGGAGGAGGGGCCTGACGGAGGAGCCAGGCCGGGGGCGGGGGGTGGGGGGGTGGGGAGCCGTGTCCCCCAGACTCAGTGGTCTACCAAGGAGCCCCGCCCTAGGGGAGAGGGCTCAGCCCCTCCCAATTCCGGAGTCCCCGCCTCTCCAGCCCTTCCCCCACCCAGAGCCCCGGAGTGGAACACTACATAAGCTACGGCTTCCCCTCGGGGCTCCCCTACTCTAAGAAGTCCGGGAAGGGAGTCCCCGAGGGCTATGTAAGCAAAGAAGCTGAGGATGCCGGGCTTGGAACCTCCCACCCTGAGGCTTGGGAGGTTTGGCTCAGCCCACTTCCTTTACCTTTCAAGCTTCTTGACATCTCTCCTCCCCCAGCCTGGGTTTGTCTTTCATCTTTTTCACTATCTTTTCCTTCTTTTTAAGAATAGCTTGCATTCTAATTTATTATTATTTTTAAACTATAAATAGCCTCATATAGGGTTTGGTTTTCACATAAAATATCTCGTCTAAACTTCACAACAATGCCATGAGGTAAGTAGTATTGTTTCCATTTTATAGAAGAGGCTATTGATCTAAAAAGAGGTTAAAGTAACTTGTCTAAAGTCTCACAACTAATAAATAGAAGCCCAAAGACCACATTCCTATTACACTTCCAAGCCTCAGCCTATGTATCTTCTTTCTCTGCCCTGCCTCAACTTTTCCACTTATATGTTTATTCTTATATTTCCTCCTTCCTTTCTGTGACTTGAACACTAGGAACTAATGGAGAACAATGTTGACTGCAGAAAACAGAAATTCTTCCCTTACCAACATGTAGTTTTCTACTGGAGTTTTAGAAATGTCAGGAAGCAGGGTATTGTGGATAGAATAGAGAATTGGCCCCAGAATCAGGAAGATCAAGGTTCAAATGCCATCTCTGATATTAGCTGTGTGATCCTGGGCAAATTACTTAACCTCTCAACACTTTAGGCAACTCTCTAAGATTGTAGGTTGAATGTAAATACTGACCTGCATCAGTAGAGGAGTTTCCTCATCTGGAAGTCCCCTACACTGATGAAATCACAGGTTCAGTCCCTATCCCTATCTAGAAGTGGAGCTTCTTCTCCCTAGGAGTTTTTGCCTGACAGAATCTCAAACTTGGTGGAAATGAATGAAGATAGAAAGTTCAGAAGTCATATCTATTCCAACCTGTACCTGAATAGAAATCCTTGCTACCACATCTAAGTTTATGTAGTAAAAAGAGCACTGGATTCAGAGTCAGAAGCCCTGGTTTCAGACCACTGACCCTATAATTTGTGGCATGTGGAATCACTCTTTCTGAGTTTGTCTCCTCACCTGTAAAATGAGAGGGCCCCTCCCTACCTTCAATTTCTTGTCAGGTGTGGGATGGGTTGCCAAACCAGTTTTACTTGCCTTCTGTAACTGGGACTAGGCCTCCTAGGATAAAGTAGATTCATCGTAGTTTTTACATTGACCAGCTGCCACTACTAGTAGATGTTTCCCATTTTGGACATCACACTCTCCCATGGTTGGCCCATTTCTACTTACACAGAGATAGACAGGTAATTCCAACACACAGGAACTTGGGGTAAACTGATAAAGGCATGTGGACTCTCAGCAGTAGAACCTGTGCTTCATCCCACCCTGATGCATACTTCATACTAGCTATAGGAGCAGCACTGTCAGATTATAGAGAAACCTTCAACTAAATAGCAATAGTCTTTCAGAGAAATTACTAACATCAAATAATCATGGAATATTAGATCTTTAAGGGACCCAGAGAGTATCTTATTTTATATTTTATTATTTTATAGTTGAGCAAATTGAAGTCCAGAAAGAGGGAACTGATTAGCCCACCATGATACACCTAGCTGATGGCAAATGTCTCTGATCCTCATCCCCCAGGAGGCTAACTGAGAAACATAGAGAGGAATAGGCAGGACAATCCAAGCTCTTATTCCCACTTTATAGACAGAAAAACTGAAGCATACAAAGTGCAAGGACTTGGTGGCTAGAAACAAATGGAAAATTATCTGATTCTGTGAATGTGAAGTTGGAGGTGGTAGAAATAAACAAATAACTTCTTGGTGTCTGAAGGTATAAAAGATATGAACCTTACGTAACCTTTTCCAGCTCAGTTTTGATCATACCAACTGTGCCATGTAGTTGAGCTGGAAACAAAACAGTCTGGTGAGCACATCATTAGACTCCTTATTAAATGCCATGGGCTCTATTCCCACTCCCAAAGAAGGCACAGTGATCTCTTGTATTATAGTTCATCCTCAAGCTGGGCCAAGGTGTTGAATAAGCTGAGGTCTTTAACAAGCTCTACTCATAAAAAGAAATCGTGTCAATGGACATCAACACCCAGAGGTGTCTAAGTGGGGTCAGTTAAGGAGTAAGCAACATTTAGGATGGAAGAAATAAAAGAATACAGAATTTTACATTGTTCCCTTCTATATGGGACAAGATGGGATGGGATGTTCTCAGACCCTTGATGATTTAGAATTTAGTGCTTGGAGCAGAAACAACTTTGAGATTTAATCTGACCAAAGCGTATTATTACCCAACTGCTTTGGGAAAATCCAGACCTGTGCAAAGGCCTACCTCTTTGATGTTTTTGTTGTAAATTAATGAGTTAACTCACAAAATGGCATCAAAGAAGATCTGATCCACTAACTAATTCGCTGTTATCATCCTCCAATCTGCAGCTGAATTGGAAATTCTCCAAAGAAAAGACTGCATCCAGGGAAAAACACACACAGTGAAAGATTTGGAAATCATGATCTCTGGGAAGAAATAAGAGAAAATTAACTCTCCCAGCCAGGAGAGGAGATGGAAACCGTTGAAAAAACCTCCAGGGAATGAGCTAACTGCAAAGGTGACCAAGAGATTGTCTGTGAATAGGTCTAGAAGAACATAAACAAGTGTGTGGGTGTTTAAGAGGGGAAATGTGGTGTGCAAAGCCTGAAATGATGCAATTGAACAGTGACCTGAGATTGCTTTCAAGGTGAATGCAGAAAAAGATTTGGCTGGGTTCGGAGGGATGCACATCTGGAGATTCTCCTTTTTTAAAACAATGCTTCTGCCAGACTTTCCCTAAGCTACCAAGGAAGTATGGTATAAATATATCACATCGGAATATGTAAATTAGGATTCACTCTCTGGAGCCCCAAACACAAGAAAGAAGCAACCAGAAAGAGGCTGTGACGTCTGTAAAGCCCTCAGACCAATGAATGGATCTAAACTGTCCAGTGAAATGAACTCTGGCTGGAGGACTATAAACAATGGGGAAGGATAAATGCAGGCAGCTGAGCAGGGAGGGGTTGGCTGTGGGCAGGGACAGTTTCCAGGGTACTTGCTTTCATTCATCAACTTCCATAATGGCGGTGCTGGGAATTATGTGAGTGAAATGCACTGAAGACACCAAATTAAGAGCAACTTCAAACATCAGTAAGAAATTAGGAAACTTTTAGTTCAAATGTGTAACCTGTTGTTAAGACTAGTCACTGTGCTGGAAGACTGGTGGCTTGCAAATAACGACAATAATAATAACAGCTCACATTTGGATAGTACCTCCCAGTTTACAAATCACGTAGTATATTCTGTCTCATTTGGTTCTCACAAAAACCCTTTGAAATAGGTAATGCAAATGTTATCACCCCTATTTGAAGCCTCCTGGCTTACCTGAAACTCAATTGTTGCCTGAGTTGCATCTTAAAGAAGAGGATTTTATAATACTGAGGTAAAAATGAAATGTGTATGTTTTTAAAAAAATTGTTTTCACGTGTAACTGGGAAATAAGAAATACAGGAAATGGGGTATTGACATATATCCTGCCCTACAGGAAAATAGAAGGGGTAGGGGATAAGAGAAGTGGGGGAGAGATAGAAGGGAGGACAGATTAGGGGAAAGGGTATACAGAATGCATGCCACCTTGGGATGGGGGGAGGGATGAGATGGGGAGAAAATTTGGAACTCGAAATCTTGAGGAAGTGAATGATGAAAACTAAAAATAAATAAATTTTAAAAAAACAAATAAAATAAAATAAATAATTCTTCTTTACAACATGAAAAAAAGGAATGAAATGTGTTCCAGGTATGGAGCAATGTCCGGTATTAGGAGATGGTCATTGCAAAGGCATGGAGCCAGAAAATGCAGTGTTATGGGTGAGGAACAAAGAGAAGGCCAGTTTGGCTGGATCACAGAGTGTGGAGGGGAGGAGTAATGTCCAATGAGGCTGGAAACACAGGTTGAGGCCAGGTTGTATAGAAAGAGCTTTCAAAGCTAAACAGAGGCAATATATGGCTATTAAGAGAAGGTAGACTGTGTTTATTAAGGACAGCCTAGGCACATCTCTTGGGGCTATTGGCAATGGCATCTTGCCATGGAACAGCCAGGGTCTATTCTTGACTTGTGGTACTTTCTACATTCTTTTATCCTGGAAGAATGGAGAAAAGGAGTACAAAAAAACCAAGAATAACTGAAAATGTGAGCAAGATAATGATGGCAGGGATCTGTGACTTCATCACGATGGGAATTTTCTCTACCCAGTTTATAATTTACAGTCTTGAAAAGCTGACTAAGGTTCATAGATGTTCAGATACTTGCACATGGTCAGACAGCTGGCAAGTTTCAGAGATAGGATTTACACTCTGGTCTTTCTGAGGCTAAGTCCAACATTCTCTGCCCACTGTTATGGTGCCTCTCAAATAACTGTGATCACACAACAGAAATCAGTAGGGGAAACCAAAGTTAATTTATCTAAAAGAAAATTAATAAGACATTTAGAATAAATAATTGCGAAAAAAAAGAATAAGTAATTGCAACGGAGACTCTTAGAAGTAATCATCAGTGACTTAGCACCTATGAGTAGCACACACAAAAATACCCCATAATTCTGGACCACCAGAAGTTATGCTTTGTCTCAGTGATGCTCAGATGATTTTGGTCCAAAGACCTCTTTGTTGATGTAAAACTGTGTCATCTCATCTGTGTAATGGTGAAAGTGGAAGAAGAAGATTTTAACGTTTCT